ACACTGAACAAGTCTGCATGTTTGGGAGATTGTCTATGGGTAGGAAATAAACAATTTCAAAGAACTGAAGGAAATTTAAACCAAATTTTTAAAAAAGAAAAACCAACCATATTTCTTATGTATTTCCCCCTTGACATATAAGACACTTTAAGAAAAGGGATAAAAAGCTTTAATGAACGTCATCTTGCTATTCATCCGAAATATGCGGACAGGAAATTGGCAAAGCCGAAACATGGTTCAAAATGCGAAACTTCCAGTTTAGTAAAGCTAGATTAAAACATGCGCAGGCATTTTGTATTGCCAAGTAGTCAAAAACCTTCAATAACTTTTAAATCTGAAAAAAGTCAGGTAAGTACCTTTGGGGAAAACTCAATTCTAAGACATATCAGTATTACTGTAACAGAATTAATAAATGGGTTAACAGATGGCATTAAAGAAGAAAACCAATAAAACCACTGAGTAATTTAAAACCATAAGCACCTAAAAGGAAAGAGTTATATTCCAGTTTTGTTTTTTAAAAGTAAAACTACTTAAGTAGATGGTAATGTTCAAAATAATTTAATGTTCTTAAGATAATGATACTGATGTAACAATTCATAGAGCACTGAGAAAGAACAGCCATCCTCAGCAGTGTGCATTTCCAATGAATTCAGAATTATATAAGATCATATCAGAAATATCACTCACCAGTTCCTAAAAAGTCTATACTGAAGATTTGGAGAGAGAAAGCAAAGATACACTTTGTTTCTTACAGAGTCACAATACAACAAATACGTTTACATTATAGCTAAAATACTACTAGTCACAATTTTCGATCTTAATAAAGTTACAGCATGTGGAATTGTAATACATTTATCTTCTCTAAAACCATTTTTTTTTTAATGGCAGGTCTGTCACTTAATAAAAGCCCCCAACCAGCAGAAAACTGTAAGCGATCCATCAATACAGTCTTAAAAATATTTTGTGGCAAAGTAATTATATGCTAACTTTGAAAATACAACATAATTTTTTGGTCCTTGAGGCCACTAAAGAAACAAGGGGAGATTGGGGATCCCGATCTATCATTGGAAAGTTCATGAAAAAATTCACACTTATTAAACATCTTTTTACAGAACACTCTTCCCCTTGTTGTTAAACATAAGATATACCTCATAAATAACAGGCATGACCAAATTTAAAAAAAAAACACCCCACAACAACCCAACAACCCACAATAAAATGGGTCCAGATGTTTTAATATGTCTTTATCACAATTTTCTTTTGAAGACCATCAATGACTCCTTTTAATGGCAACGAAACCAAATTCTCCTATTTCGTATGTATCAGAGTCTATGTGCCTTACTATGGCTGTTTTTCTCTCTGTAGGGCAGGGGTCAGCAAATAATGGCCTGAAATGGCCTGCTGCTTGTTTTCATAAAGTGTTTTTGAATCCTGGCCACCCGTTCATTTATGTATTGCAGCTTTTGTGCTGTAACAACAAAGATTTCCGGAGACCCTGAAATAAATATTGGCTTTGGATCTTTTTTTTTTAAGTTTGCCAGCCCTTGCTATAGAGGGGCTTATCCAGACTAATCTACAATGATGTATGAGCGTCTCTACTTTTATTAATATTTTAGTTTCTGTTATTCTAATGTATGTGTGTATTAATCTTTCTTCTTTGTACTTTATGGGTTGACATATACCTTGGAAACTTTTCATAATGACTGAGTGTTCATCTTTCATCTCTTTGGAACAGAAGTACTACTACCATCTCTGTCCATCAACTATTTCACTTCAGTCACCCAGAAATTTCCCAGGAGCTTGATGATCATCAATGGATAAGCCAAATGCCAAGAGAATGGCCAGAACATGTAAATCTTATTTTATCTGCAATAAGGGAGTTGAATAAGTGTTAGCAAAAAGAACAATGAAACCAAACAGACTTTAGAGTTAACACCATTAAGTTGTGGGGAACCGCTTTTCAAAACATACACTCACACACATACGTATCCCAGAATTACCCTCCCAACTATCACAAACTAACGGCTACAGCATAGTCAAAGTATATCCGTTTTAGAAATATATTACTGTCTATATACATATGGATACAGCCATAAAAGGCAGGTTAAATAATTATTTGTATAATCAATACTACTTTAAGCTGTTTTTGTCATTTTTTTAAAATTACATGTTCTATTAAAATTATCAAAATAATTCTTTAAAAATACTAGGAATAAAACCAGTGAAGAGGTGCGTTCCATTCAAGTGTTCTAAGTCTGCTCATTGGTCACCAAGACCCCGGGTTTGGTTGTCTGCATCTCAAAGAAACACAGTTCAATCGGGGAAAAGTGAGTCATCAAAAGCGCTTCCCCTCTTAATACTTCATAACAAATAAGTATGTAGGTCTATATATAGATATAGGTAGATATAAAACACTCTTATTTATATTATATTATTTTCATAAAGGAATTTTCATAAAAAAACACAAAAACTCAAGTTTTCACCAACTCTTTTTATACTAGTGTGCATTTCTTTTAAATGTTTAGGTCAATGACAAACTCTATCAGGATATAGAGATCATAAAAAGGAGATTGAAAACTTACGTATCACATGCAAGAAAGAAGGAAATACTAAGGGCCAGTATTTGGCCAGTTGGGTATTATTCCCTCTGTACTAAGACACAGAGACAATGAAGTGGCTAATTACTGTGCAAAGTACAGTCAACTGCCAATCGCTCAGGGCAGACTGTTTACATCTAAGCCCTGCTTCTTTTTCTAGCAGTTGACCACTGCTGGCAATTTCACTCCTTTCTAACAAACCTCGCTCTGGTTACTTATTAGCAAGTCTGGTAAGTTTTTGATTTTTGGCTACAACGAAGGTTTTGGGATCAGCTGTGGATTTAACAATGGACTCCTTGAACTTATTTTATTGCTTTGGATAACTAAAAATTTGCTAGACCTAAAAATCTGCCAAGATCTCGTTCCTAAGCTCTGAAAGCAACGCTGGTGCTTCAAAGGAAAGGGACAAAGTGTCCTCTTGACATACGAAAGCGGCTGTTTCTTAACTCAAAATTAATTATTACTGAAGGCTTTCAGTGTGTGGAGTTCAGAGCTCGTTGGCTGGCGGCAGACTCGGCTATTTCTCCATAGTTTAAACATCAATGAAGCGACTGACATAAAGTCAATCGGCTGGAAACACTGGAAGGTCAGATGAAAAGTGTGATCGACATTCATGAAAACGTCAGTTCATTAAAGAAAAAAAAAGACTTGGGTCAAGTTTGGCAAACTCTTCAAATAATGGAAAGGCAAGAATGGAGAGAAAAAAAATTAGAAGCAAAAAAAAAAATCTACCATGTACAATGTAATGGTGTGAGTTCATAGTAAAAAAAAAATTCTTAGAATATGACTAAAATAAAAGTTACTATACATTTGTAACCCTATTTTTGGCACTGGTTTTGCCTCTACATTTACACTTGTTCTACAGGTAGTGACCAACAAAATCAAGGAGAACGGCCGTCACGAGTGAGGAGGGCCACTCTTGAGCGGTCACCACTCAGAACGGTTTGTGTGGCACCCCCTGGACTCCTGGGCACAGGGCGGTGCCAGACCCACCACAGGAAACGTCAGCGAGAATTGTGTAGAACACCACTTTCCTGAATTAAGTTTGCTGAACATGGTTCAGATTATTGGATATGTCAATATGCACAATGCCTTTTAGAAGCATTTACTGTATACCCAAATCCTACTTCATGCAACACACAGTGTCACACAAGTAGTAAAAATGTTATCCGAGTCAAAGGTGCTTGGACATTATTTTCAGGCAGCATTTTACCTTTATTTTTAGTTAAGTTCACACTAGATAAGTTTTAAGAGAAATAAAATGCCAATAAATTTCATTCCTATGTTTTAATATAGTATATAAAACTAAGACAGACACTTTTCATTTATCTAAACTGTTTTAATTTTTCTACCCTAGTCTAGACCTCAATTTTACTTTTATTTAAAAAAATTCTTTTTTGTATTTAAATAAGGGATAAAATGTTGCCCAAAAGTCTAATCATAGTTACACATTTGTGTTTTAACTAGATCTACAAATCAAAATAGTTCTTAATAGTTAAAAAGATACAATTTGTATCAACAGTAAAAGGTACTTTCTGGCTTTTCAGGGCTTCAAATCCTAGAACCAGGGCATTGAGGCTGATCCCGGGAACCAAACCGGATGAGACTGTCACACCACTGAAAATTTGCAATCTGGAGATGACAGCTCTGGTTCTGTCAGTCACACACCACTGTCTGCCACTGATTGCAAAAGTCTATCTTCTGACCCACAGAAATGTATTCACATCTTGCAAAACCCATGACTTTGAACCAGAAATATCCCTTACTAATACTAGAACAGACTTTAGTCTGTATCTAAAACTACACTATTTGTGGCAAGAATCTGGCCTTAATAATATAACAGGCCCCCCAAAAACTACCTTCAGGGAAGTGGAAAATATACAGTATCTTACAAAAAAGAACTTTAAGTTACCATTTACAACTCCTCTGTCACCATTTCATAGTGCACTAGCAATAAATGTTGCATATCCTCAATACACAGAAATCACCCCAGGCCAGCCTTGAAAAATAGCAGGAAAGCTGAAGAGTATATTAAATATAAAAGTTGCATTGAGAATAATTAGATTCATTAAAAACTGGCAAGTACTGTGAAAAGTTAATTTTATCCAGTATTGTTTGTGCCTCAAACAAAATGACAGACACATTAAAGACACAAATTAATGAAAATCTAGGAATTCAATTCCCTTTCTACTGTCTATACGCACAAATAGCTGGATAACAAAGCTCGAAACTGTGACAGTTGCAGCTTTTGCCTTATTTGTATTTTAAAAAATGGAAATTTTTTCCTCCATTGATTGCATCTGCTTTCCTATAAATCAATCACATTAAATTAACTAATTACTTAACAGAAAAATTTTTTATTTCCAAATAAAAAATAAAACAATAAAAAAGTGCCATCTCATCAATCTTTCTAATATATTCTGTTACCCATTTTGACATAAACTGGTAACTTATATTTAGTTTAAAATATAAAGTCAGTGCTGTAGTATATCTTTGTTTCTATAAATAATGATTCTAGCACAGAGAAGCCCACATCCCCCAAATAAAAATAACTTAAAAAGCTGTAAAAGAGTCTAAGTAAGCTTGGCTTGAAAAAATAGTTTGCTAGGTCTAGTCAAATGTTCAGCATTCTGTAAGTATTGTAATTGCTTGCAATTGATAGACAAACACCAAGGTAATAAAACAGGACACAAGGATAAAAAGTGCTGCATATAAACCCCTGATGCACCAAAGATTAATATCAAAGATCACAGATACACCTAGTAAATCAAACTGGAAAAATTTCCAGCCAAAGAGAGAGCTGTAAAAAGGAAAGGTTAAAAAAAGGGTGTAAGCAATCCCTTGATCCATCCGGGGCTATCCATCCAGATGCCATGATACAGTAGTTCACATAAATGGATACTATATAACCTCCTCGCTGGAAAGGAGATCACATGTGCTATTGTAGCAAACCTCCCTCAGCATTTGAGCTGAACAAAAACAAAAAAATCCCCCCTAGGCAACACCACAAAGATGCATCATCTTTCAATAACCCAGCTGCGATTTCTCCACTAAGATGGCTGCAGCCAGCTGCTGGGCATCTGTCATGTGAGGGTTCCTTTTCATGACAATTCTCACCAGCTCAGGTGGGAAGATGTTGCACAAGTTGATGAAGATTTTCTCCCGGCTGTCTGGATACCTCGGGGGGTCCTGTGGCACCCCGCAGTATGGGATCCGCCAGGTGGGTTCTGGCTGCTCGGGCAGGCTCTGGAAGGTGAACTGATCATAGCACGGCTGTGTGGAGTTATCAGGCAGGGAGTAAGTCTGCCGATAGCCATAGGCGTCGATCCCGTAACCCGGCCGATCCCAACTTCCCAGCCCGTCCTGGCGGGTGTAAGGCTTTCTTTGTCTGGAAGGCGAACTGTCGTAGAGCCGGGAATCGGAGATGCTGTCGAGTCTTGTGGCCACGAGGGACCTCCCCAGGTGTGGTGCCTTGGAGTGTGCTGAACTCGGAGGAGAGGGGTACTCCCCGGGGCAACTGGCCCGGGCGCCCACGGCCGGGTGCTGCAGATGCATAGCCAAGTGCGGAAGGGGGGGCTTGTGATGGTACTTTGGTTCTTCGTGACTGTAACTCTGCACTCTGGTTAAGGGGTCGTGGAAATTCTGCAGGAAGGGCTGGGAGTTAAGGCGGCTGTGAGGGTGCATGTGTGGACACTTCAAACTCTCTTCCAGCTGGGGATCCGGGGAACTGACGTAGGAGCGGTCGTTGTACCCCACATAGGAGTCACTGCTCCCACAGCTCATGCTCCCTTCACTGCTGCAGTCAGAGGCTACAGAACTTATTCTGTAATCGGTGTCTAAGGAGAAACGCCTTTCAGGACTTCGTGGGCCTGAGATACTCAGATTGGAATATGCATTCAACATGGAATAATATCCAATGTCAACGGGCGAGTCGCATTTTGGGTACTGTTCATAAGGCATTGGCGTTCCATGATTTTTGGTTGCCATCATCATTGGAGGATATTGTCCCTGTGGTCTTTGATCCTGAGGTGGGAAGTGCACTCCAGATGGAAGGCCATTGCTTAAGGGTGTAGTGCTTTGGGGTTTTGTAGTAGAAGTGGCCGGTATACTAACTAAGGAAGGTACGGACCTGGTTTCCAATTTGTTTTTGGTGGGGAGCTTTTCCTCAAGGTCTTGGTAGACTTGCGTCCTTATGCTTGGATCGGACTGCCTCTTTGGAGCACCTCGTTTGACATCTGAAGTGCTGTCAGCCTTTGTGCTGCAGGGAACGCTGTTGCTTTTCACGAGTCCTCCCTCGGTGGTGGTTTTGGCTGCTGTATTCCTAGACATGGCACGGAGTTCATCAGCCACAGAGCGCTGAGGCTGACTGCCCCTTTCGGGATGGTAGTATTTGCACTTGTGTCCATAGGTACACTTCTTCCCTATGAAGAGCAAAATCAATTAGCCAAAGGAGCATACCACTAGATCCTGAAAAAGGCAATTTTGCAATATTATTTTACCTTGTGAAAGAAAGGGAAAATAAAAAGGCAGAGAGGGGAGGTATATACTGTTACTCTGCTTCTTACTCTTGAGATATATTTAAAAAGTCTTCCTATTCCTTACTTTTAAGAGGAATAAGAAAATTGGCCACACAGTTAATCACCTCTGTAGATTTTGGCTAGGCCAAAATCTCACACTTCGCTCTTCTCTTCCAGGAAGACTCTGTGAACAGGTGGGGAATTCTGCTTTCAAGAGCAGCATGTACTGCTACAATATGACAGAAACCATGGTCTTCTGGTGTGTAGCTGGGTGCAAGAATCCCGTGTTTGTGTCCACATGCAGTTATTAAGTGACTTTCTGGGAAAAGGTTTTAACTCAGGGAAATCCACTTGCATGGAACCCAACTAGGTAAAAAGAATTCTTTCTAATGGTTGAGCATCTAAGTTTCACTGCAATCAAAAGAGCCACATCCAGAGCATCCAAACTTTAAAACACTTCTCTTTATTAGTGGAAGTTTAACAGTCTGCTGTGTTCTAACTATGCAGAGTGAAAACTCATAAAGCAAGTTACCGTATGGACAAGGCTGCTTTTTGTGTTCAGGAACAATAGGCTTTTTCCTCAGAAAATTATCCAGGCTCGGGCCGTGTCTTCCAAGAGGATCATCAGGGGGCATGAACCTGTCATGGATATAGCAAAATAGAAGAATTTTACCTCAAGTAGGAGGCTCGTAATCTAATTCCAAAGATCCCAAAGATTTATTCATTCTATGGTAATTTTTTTAACCTTATTTTTAAGTGATATTTTAATAAAAGCTTACAGAAAACTTGGATTTCCATTCATTCATTATTGCACATTTCCCTCCCTCCCCTCCCCCCGCAGTTCACTTCTCTCTTTAAAAAGATTCTTTCATTGTTGCACAATTTCCTTCCTCCCCTCATCCCCCAGTCCACTTTGTTATGTACTTCTTATTATGGACTGTTGTTATATAAATAATACATATTCATCTATTTCTTTTAGATAGTTCTTCCTCTCACTTGTCTCAATGCAGTGTCTATTATTTATGTCTTATTTTCTTAGTTTCCTCCCAACTCCCATATCACTCCTGTTTTAGAACAGTGGCATTATGCAGTATTTATCCTTTTGTGACTGTGATATTTCACTCAGCATAATAACCTCCAGGGTCACCCATTTTGTATAATATTTTATGAGTTTCTTGTTTTTCAGTGCTACATAGTATTCACTGTGTGAATATAACATGGCTTCTCTATCCATTCATTTGTTGATGGGTCTAAAATAATTTTTTAAAATTTTATTTCAAGTATTTTGTTCCACATTTATATGGAAAAAATCTGTAAATGAATTTTTTTCTTAAGAAAAACAAAATCAATAATGTTTTAATCTTAACTTGCATTTAGTTTATTTCTAGTAAACTTTGATTCTAGGATGTTCTAATTGCTTCTTCCTCGCCCCCAGTATTGGGATTCTGCAAAGACTTTAGAAAACAGCTTACTGACATTAAAGAAGAGTTTTATAAACACTAATATTTTGAAGCAGTATGTTGCAAGGAGGGAGTGAGGAGGCAGCTGAGGAAGAGAAGGGAGAGGTGGTGGGAGTGAATGACAAGATTTATTAGACAACCATTATGTGGCTGCCCCTGATATGCACCATTGCATCTCATCTTCATAAATATCCTCACAAAAGCTCCATTCACTAGATCAGCAAACTTTTTTATTAATTTCTTTTTTTCTGTTTAGTCTTAAGTGGCTGGGAAGTCTAGCTTCCCAAAACTAGAGTCAGTTGGAGCTGGTTATTTTTGAAAATATGGAGTGCTGCATGAATTTGTGTGTCATCCTTGTGAAGGGGTCATGCTAATCTTCTCTGTTTTGTTCCAATTTTAATACATGTGCTGCTGAGGCGAGCACTAAACTTTTTTGAATAGAGGCTTAGACAAATTACCTTAAACCCCAACCAAACTACCATCAAGGCAATTGTGACTTGCTGCAGCCATCCCAGACTGGGTAGAAGTGCCCACGGAGCTTCCAAGGCTGCTCTGTTCTCCTCCAGTAGAACAGCTGGTGGTGGTGGGGCATTCGAACCACTGGCCTTCAGATTAGCAGGAAGTGCCTTTTAGTAATTCTTATTTTAGGCCACAGTTCAAGATTCAGTTGTGTCTAATTCCAAAGCTTAGTCTCTTCCCACTATATTATTTTTAGCTGAGATAGAAAACACCTTAAGAAAATAAGCTTTATTGTTTTGGACTGGCTCTCCATTCATGGCATGCAGAATTATGATGGAAGAGGTTTAACACTAGGTATGTTACTGCTTGAACCTGAAACAATCTTTACATTAGAACATGAATAAGGTATACATTTTCACAGGATTGCTAACATGGAAGAGTAATGAAACTCAGCAAATACAGCATTTAATATTTTTATAAAACCAATATGACATTAAAAGTTAAGAAGGCAAAGTCACTCAATCTCATAATTCTGATACAATGACTTTCTGTATTCATATTGCCTTTTAGTAATTTTCTGCATTCAGACACCATTTTTCATGGTTTTATGCAGGCATGTGTAATTTTATGCTTTTTCTTATCATGTCTTTTTCCATGATAGTATTTTTCATAGTAACTCAAAGGGTAGGTATCATTTTACCAGAATATTATAATAAATATTTAATTTGCCCTTGATTTTTAAAATTATAAATAATATAGTCATGAATATATGTTTTTTCCTTATAAATTCTTAGAAATGGCATTGCAAAGATGAATGAACACAATATGCCTTTTAAGGATTATGATAAATCATGCCAAAATATGGGTCAGTTTCAACTCCATTTTTCATCAATATAAAGCAAACACAAAAATATTATGGAGATTAAAATGGGAAAAATGTGCTCTCTGGAGATTTCATTTGTATTTCTGTCTATCTATACAGTTGGGTACTTTTTTAAAAAAACACATTTACAATCAGACTTCTCGTTGGATGTGCATGTTCATGTCCTTTACCCACTTACCCACATACAGGCTCATATTATGAAAAGTGCCTCTGTATCTAACTTGGACAAAAATCATACATTCAGAAAGCCAGCCCCGCTCGGAGCAAATTTCCTACAGCGCGTTCTAGGGCATTAGTACATTTAAAATATTCATTCCCTGAAGATGGAGACAGACTGCCAAGTCTTACGAGTTACAAAGAACGTGGCAGAACACTTGTTCTGCCTCAGGTACCCGTCAGTGACGTGCACGTCAACAGCTGCTCGCCCAGAAACTCCCGAGCCGTGACCTGGCCATGTCTCTAACTTACTGAGCACAGGAAGACAATCATTTGTTGGAAGAAATTGGTCTTAGGTCTGGTCAGGTGGTTAAAAAAAAAAGAGGAAGAATTTTGTCAACACTCTATTAGTCTAGTGCTAAGAAGCTGTGCTGTAAACCCTGAAGGTTTGAAGCCACCAACAACTGTGCAGGAGAAAGATGGAAACCACCTACTTCTGGAAACCCACTGAGGGGGCCAGCTATGGGTCCGTTCCGGCGATGACACACAGTAACATCACCACCACCACCACCACCACAGTGGCGTTAAGATTTTCAGAGAAGTTGTATTATTGGCAAGGAGATGCCTTTACTTACTTGTCATTGACAAATGAATACATCAGTAACCGCTCATCTATGAACTTCTTCCATTCTGGCTTCTCATTCGCCAGATCCCTGTAGTTGTCGTTGGACACAATGATGCCGTCCGACTCAAAGGCCAGCTTCACGATGAACCTGTCATCGTAGCACACCACTCGCCTGCCCTGCACGCGGCGCGATGGCGTGAACACCAGGATCTTATCCTTCTCCAACTTACGTAAGATCTCCTGATCTGCAGAACAAGAGGGCGAAGGCTCATGCACACACACCTACACAGGGGACACTTACAGCAGCTGCCACAAAACGTGAGGCTTTACAACGTGGGCTGGGTGTATGCAATCATCCAACTGGGGACTGCAATCTGTAGTTTGTGGATGGAGTGCAATATTAAGCCCCAATAAGCTCTATTTCCACGACGGATTTCAATAATAAAGGCTTTACACACAGTCAAGAGGGTGACCGGCCTAAGAGCCAACATGCCTGCACCAACACCACACTGGAGCCGCCACCCTGCAACTGAGCATATTCCCAGCTCGAGCTTTTGCAACCCAGCAGTGGTGTGAGCGCGGCTCAGGCCTGAGACTGCAGATTCCCCCAACCTATTTGCCATTTTATTTTACAGTTGGTTTTTCTAACGAACTACTGCAAGTTGTGGGGAGAGTTTGGGCATGGGGGGAGGGAGAGTTGACCTAAATTGCATCGCACAAGTGCAGTTGTGGGTCGATTAAAAATCCTAGCAGCCCTGTGAGATGGAACCCTTGCCGGGTGGTGTGCCTGCTGCATGGTCAGCTGTGCTCCAGCCCACTGCTGTTGGCACGGTGGCACTCTATCCACACTGCAGTAGCAGATTCAAAGAGGAGGGCAGCGATGGGAATCAAAGGTCTTGCTATGGCCATGGCCATGATTTGTTCCCATGTCCTTCCTGTGAACCGTGTGCCTATAAATCATGAGAGCATTCCCGTGGGGGCTGATTAAGAAAGAGATCAAAACCCCATTGCCCTTAAGGAGATTCTGACTCTCAGTGACTCGACAGTCAGAGCAGAACGGTCCTAAGGGGTTTCCAAGGCTGTAATATTTACAGAAAACAGACTGCTACATCTTCCTCCAGTCGAGCAGCTGGTGGGTTCAAAGTCTGACCTTTTGGTTAGATGCTGAGTGCTTAATCACGGAGCCACCAGGGTTCCTAAAAGAAGCGACTATTATGTATTATTGAGTCAGAACAGAAGAGACTAATAGCTGACCCTCCAGCAGGTTTTCATAGGCAGTAAAGCACATCTTTCTCTCACAGAGCAGCTAGTAGATTCGAACTGCCTGCCTTTGGGTTAGCAGTGCAACTCCTTACGATTAAAGTTACAGTTGTTGTTGGACCCAACCCACAGCTGACTCTCTAGCAGGTTTTCAGAGGCAGATAAATGCATGGGAGGAGACTGCTCATCTTCCACCCATGAAGCGCTGGTGGGTTAGAATCTTGTGCCTTGGGGACAGCCACGCAGCTTCCTGCCACTAGGCAATACGCTCTGGTAGCCTAGTGATGAGAAGCTATACTGCAGCTTAGTCAATAAAATGTATTAAATCAGTAAAATTTAGTGACTAAAGTTTTAATCAATGGAGACATTTTTCTCTTAACAATTCCTTCTAGTTTTCCTATTTTGTATTCCTCCTCCTCCTAATTGTAAATATAGCCATGCAATGCCAGGTATGGCCCTACAAATGTCATGATTTTTTTTTTAAAAAAGGGGGTGGAAGGTAGACTCAGCGTCTCTTAATATTTATTGACTGAAAAAAAACCCCTCCACTCTTTCCTATTATTTTTAATCTATTTTTCCAGCAGAAAACCATAGCCTGTCCACGGCACTCTACGCACTTGACCAGGTGCCCATGGCCACCTCAGAATTAAGGAGGGCTTCTCTTCAGGCGGCTCTGTCCTGGTGGGTTATGCAAACTTGTCATTGCTGCAGGAGGACCTGAGCATGGTGTGGGAGGAGGAGGCATGGAAGAGCAAGAGGGGCGAGCTATCATGCTGACACAGGGATCTGATACTGCTGCTTACAAATGCATCCATAAGAACCAGACTGTTGGCTTACGCAAGACTCAGGGAAGTAGAAGAAATGTGGACATTACTGTTGTTAGGGGCTGCTTAGTCAGCTATGACTCACAGCAATTCTATGAAAACAGACTGAAGCTCAGCTCTAACCTGCACTATCCTTCCCATCGCTGATATGCTTAAGTCCATTGTGACAGCCACCTGTCAGTCTTGTTGAGGGAAACAGCAAGATCAAAGATAAAACTCAGCTCTTGCTACTTTTCTAAATAAGGCAGCTACAGTAATGTTGAGTCTATTTCTTTCTCTCAAATGCAGCTGACAGGCTATCATGAGACAATGAGTTACACACAGAAAAGCACTTAGTGCTTAGGTAACTGTCAAGCTCTCCATAAACATGTTCTTCAACTTAATTTTGCTTCTTGTTGTTATGTGCTGTGGAGTCGCTTGCGACTCAGCGACCCTATGTACAATAGCTCTGAACCCTGCTCTATTCTGTGCCAATCTTATTGTTTCTGACACACTTACCACCATTACACCAGTTACAAAAGCAATCTGTCTCATCCAGGGTCTACCTCTGTTTCTCCATCCCTCCACCCTTCCGAGTATGATGTGCCTCTCCAAGGACTGGCCCCTCCCTGCAACATGACAAAGGTATGTCAGACAGCTTCAGAATCCTTGCCTCCAAAGAGCATCCTGGTTTCACCCTCTCTAGATTTCACTCTCTCTAGGATGAACCTGTTTGTTCTCCTAGCAGTCCATGGTATATTCAATATTCTTCTCCAGCACCACAGCTCAAAGACGTTATTTCTCCTTCTGTCATCCCTAGTCATTGTCCAGCTCTCTGACACATGACAAGGGATTGTGAAGACTACAGGATGGATCAGGTGCACTTTAGTCTCCAGACTGACATCATTGCTCTTTAGTACTCTGGAGAAGTTCTTGACAGCAGATGCAACTGACAGAAAGGAATACAGACTCAAAAGCCTAGTAATCTCCGATCTGCTGTGCTTGTTAGGACTTGCTGAGTCAGATCCAGCTCAGAGTGACCCCTATGTTCACTGCTTGTTCCTGCACCATCATCACAATCATCAAGACTTCTGAGTTCACTGTTGTAGCCACTGTGTCAGTATATCTCATTTGAGGGACTTCCTACTTTTGCTGACCTTCGACTTTACCAAGCACAATGTTCTCCAGAGACTAGTCCCTTCTGATTGTGCATTCAAAGTATGTGAGATGAAGTCTCACTGTCTTCTCTAAGACACACTGGCTGCCCCTCTTCCGAGACAGATTTGCTTGTTCTTTTGGCAATCTGTGGAATAGTCAATATTCTTTGCTAATACCTAAACTCAAAGACATCAGCTTTTTGGTCTTCCTTATTCACTGTCTAATTTTCAGATGAACGTTGAGAATGAAAAGAAGAAGGGGAAATAAAGATCTCATATAGACAGAACCTGGAGTTAATTACTGTTAACATTAAAAAAAAATTCCTTCTTATAATGTCCCCCATTGTTGATATGTGTATGTGAACATACACTAATAATTACAATGTAAAAAAAGCACTTCCTTAGACCATTAAAATTTCTGTTTAAGTATTCTGAGGCATATTCTAATATAATGCTATCACCTAATTTACTGAGCCAGTCTTCTAATGGTGAATATATTGGTCATTTCCATTTTATCCTAATATAAATGATGGTGTAATCAGTATCTTTACTTCTATCTTTATTTGGGGGATATTTTTTATCTTGAAGAGATCTCTGGTAGCCTAGTCCATAGGGAGCTTTGTTGTTAATCTGGAAGCCATACCTCTGGGTGATTTAATTCCACCGGCCATTCTTTATAAAGATGGGCAATGCCCTCCTGTGTGATTCAAAGTGTCAGAAACCCAACAGAAGGTCAGCTACCAGTCAATGAGTTTGAATTAGAGATTTTGTTTGTTTTTTTCCTCTTGAAAGGAACAAGTAAATCTAAGAATATTAATGTTTCAGGACAAAATGATTTTCCAGAAGGTTTAAAAATTTACATCACTATAGTCCTGTGAACTTAGAAATAAGGTGTGTTTAATTCAGGCTGTAGTCTATCTGATCACTTGCTATGCATCTGAGAGGTGGACAATGAATAAGGGTGACAGAAAGGTAATTGAGACGTTTGAGCTGTGGTGTTGGAGAAAAGCACTGAACATCCATCCCACGGACGGCCAAGAGAACAAACAGGTATGTCTTGGAGAAGGTGCAGCCAGAGTGCTTGTTAGAGGCAAGAATGATGAGGCTTCACCTCACATACTTTGGCATATTGCTAGGAGGTGCTATTCCTCGGAAAGGGACATGATGCTGGGAAGGGTGGAGGGTCAACGAAAGAGAAGACGACCCTCAATCAGGTGGACTGACACGGTGACTAATGCGATGGGCTCTTGTGTGTCAGGAAGTATGAGGATGGCACAGGACAGAACAAGGTTCAGAGTACTTGACTCAATGGCATCTAACACAATGAGTCCTGTGAGGTACTGGATATGATATTTTTAAATTTATGCTAGCTTCATGGGTGAACAATAACAATGATTTAATGACTAATGAAGCTGAACTATTTTCTTTTTGACATTTCATTTCTTTTCTGAGTTGTCTGTGTGTGTCATAGCCCATCTGTGTCTTGGCGAGATTCTATCAATCACGAAGGATGCTTTCTATGTTAAGGGCATGGATTCTTTGTTGAATTTCTTTCTCATAGACATCAGCTGGTTTTTATTTTTAAGAAATTTCCCCAAGACATATTAATTTAAACTTTGATGTAATCATATCTACTGCATCCTTTGTGATGTTTTAAATGTATAAAGGAGTCCTCTAGTTAGTTGTCCAAAGTATATTAATTTATATCACAGTTTAATTTCTGGCATTTAATGCTTCAAGTTATTTGGAATTTAATCTTACATATTTTTCCCCAAAGAATTATCCAATGTCTGGTTCTATTGGTTGGATTATGCCTGTTGCTGTTCTGTGCCCTTGAGTTAATCCTCGAGGTAATCCTCCAGTGGGTTTTCAGAGGCTGTAAATCACATAGAAGGAGACTGTCAATCTTTCTCCTGGAGAGCAGCTTGTGGATTTGAACCACGTCTTTGGGTTGGCAGCACAACTCCTTAACCACGTTGGCCACTAGAGCTCCCTGGCTTATGCCTGCATGTTCAAATTTACATGAACTCTGCCAATGCTGGCCTATCAAGCCTTATGCTGGTCTAGCAACGATTTAATGATGACTTTAGATAAAGAGAAGGCTTTCATGTTTATTAGACCAATCACTCTTTCCCTACTCTAGGTGGCTGTTCTTGTGCCTATCCTTCCAGATAATTCAGAACAATGCTGTCAAATACTAACGCAGAAAGACTATAGGCAGCAGAGTACTGTACCAGGATTTAATCTGGCCGAAATAAACATCTTCACAACGGCCTTGCCTTTCACAAACATGGCGGGTGGTCATTTCCTATTTTTTATTCTTCCTTTTTATAACATACTATTTTATTTTTAAATTTTAGTTGGCTGAAAATTTACCAATTATATTGTATTTTCGTTCACAGAAATTTTAATTTTTTAACATTAAGTGACTAACGCAATTAATTATGATGTCTGGTCAAACCCATAAGGGAGTGATGGTGGTGCAGGTTTCAGGTGGTGGCACTGGGAACCCAAAGGTGGCACCCCTCCCGGGGATCAAATTCACCAGCGGCTCAGTGGGAGAAAGACGGGCAGTCTCAGCCTTTGTCTTTTTTAAAATATTACTTTATTTAAAAGCTTCTTATACATTGTTTTTTACACCAGATCTTTCTCATTTCCTTCCTCTCCTCCCTACCCCCATCAAATTATGCAAGCCTGTGACTGACCATCTCCACCCCCTGCCCATCCTCACCCTTTTGCTCTCCTTTGCCCCTCTTGGATCCTCATACTCATCCTACAATGGTTTTTATACAGTATTTGTCCTTATGGGACTGAGTTGGTTCACTAAGCATAACGCTTTTCATTGGTTTGCAAACAAAATTAAAATACACTGTTCTGTTCATGTACTTTGTGTTTCACATAATCCTTCATTAACAGTGAGTTTCATGTGATCATTCATACACACTGTGTTTTATAAAATTAATCATCATTGATTTATGCCTATTATTGTTTTCAGGTCCCTAAGGGATCTTTCCTAATTCCTTCACACCACCCCCTACCTCACCCTGCCCTCAAACTCTGTTATCCTAGTGACTGCTCCCTCTCCAAACCCCACCGGCCTCCCCTTCCCCTTTAGGACTTTAATCTTAATCTTACTAATTACCCTTCTATTTTTAAAACAATGGTCCTATGCAGTATTTGTCCTTACAAAACTCAGTTAGGTCACTCAGCATAACGCTCTGTAGACTCTCCCTGTTTATACTGTATTTTATAAAACTGTTGCTCTTTAAGACTGCATAATATTCCATTGTGTGAATGTACCATTATGTCTTAATCCAATTGTTTGTTGATGGACATTTGGACTATTTTCATGTTCTTACTATTATGATTATGACACTGCTATGAACATAGATGAACAAATCTCTGTGTATCAGTTTTATTTTACTTGGATATATCCCTAGCATTGAATATAGCTGGCTCATATGAGATTTCTCTCTTTAGCTTTTTGAGGAGATGTCAAATTTATCTTCCACAGGGGCTGTCCCATTGTACAAACCCACCAGCAGTGTGTGAGTTCCAATCTCTCTACATGTTCCTTGTGTTATTATCACCCTCAGAAAGCCCACTAAAGGGTCAGCTATGAATTAATTCTAACTCAATGGCAATGAGTCGCATTTTTCAAACCAAACTCTTATTGCCTTTTGCTTTTCCCTTAATTTGAAAAGTTGTGATCTTCTTCACACAGGTTTCCCTCAGGTGTTTGGTTTTTTTTTTTTTTTTGGTTCATGGTGGAGGTGGAGAGAGAAACATGAAGGGTTGGCTGCTGAATGAGAATCACTGAGCTTGACCAAAATGCTAAGCAATAATAATGAACAGTTACAGAGAGCATCTTTGTCTAAGACTGTAACATTAAAAAAATTACATAATAATCCATGTCCAAATCACCTGGATTACATCTTTCTACTTGAAACCAGATAGTCTTTTTTTTTAAAAAAAAAAATAAACCACCACACAAACCACCTTGTAGAAATTAGAATATGACAGCCACTTCATCTAATTTCACAGAGGAGATGAGAATATTGAAGCCCGCAGAGGTTCAGTGTCTTGCGCCCAGCCCTAAAGATGGGAGCGTGTGGTGCAGGCAAGAATGTGAACCCTGGTCTCCTGACGCCTGGTGCGTCTCTAGAGATCAGGATCTACAAAACTGGTAGTCAGAAGTTTCTACACAACTGAAAAAATATAAAGATGCTTGTGTGGCAAGAATTAATGTTTGGTTAGCATAATCAGGTAATATTCAAAGTTAAAAACAACTTTAATGTTCCACCCAAGAGAATATGGTAGTCCTAGATTGAACAATCAAGACAGGATCAGCACCCTGTCCAACAGAACCCCACACAGTAGCACAAAGAAGCTGAGAGCAAGCAGCTAACAGGCTTACCTGTAATGAGGGCATCAGGTCGCGACTGCTCTTTTCTCCAAGCAGGAACAAAAACGGTAATATCTTTGTGGCCACGTTCCAAAAACCAATCCACTGCCAATTTTATTCCTCGGCAGGAAAATACTTCTTTGTTTCCATGGCTGAAAGATTATTTTAGCACACTTCAAACACAACACAACACAACACAAATTCTATTTAATTAATTTAGGTTTTGGGAGTTATTCTTATTCTAAAGACAGATCTTCTCTTCATGGCCAAAGAAGGACTGACTGACATAATGCAGGTGTATGGTGGTAAATCACCAAATAATTACAATAGTAACAGAAGATTTACAATATAAGGTAGAAATACACAGGGCTCAGAAAATATTATGGTAGCTTAGGTGCTAAATAGGGAGTGAGCTCTGGTGGCCTAGGAGGTAAGGAGTTGCACTGCCAACCCAAAGGCACCAGGTTTGAATCCACTATTTGCTCTGTGGGGGGGAAAAATGGGCAGTCTCTTCCCATGTGATTTACTTAAAAGCTGCTGGAGGATCAGCTATGAACTGGTTCTAACTAGGCAGTAATGGGTTGGTCTAGTTGATTAGATGCTGAACATCAAGATATAGAAGAAAATGAGAAAATTCAGAGAGTTACTTTATGAAAAATAAAGGTATTTTTAGCTTCAAAGTGTTAAACATTACTAGTCAGAAAGATACAGTCATTTTGACCAACACAGAGAGGAAAAAAGGTGCAAGGGCTTTAAATATGTTTACTATTATGCCATTGAATTGACTGTGAATACCGGCGACTCTATGAACAAATGATCTGAACCCTGTCCTATCCTGTGCCATCCTTATCATCTCTGACACACTTGAGTGCTGCCGTCACTGTGTCAATCCGCCTCATGGAGGATTTTCCTTTCTTATGCTGACCCTCCACCTTTCCAAGCATGATGTCCTTCCCCAAGGACGGGCCCCTCTTAACTACATGCCCAAAGTGTATGTAACAAAGTTTTGCCCTCCTTGCAACCAAGGAGCAGTCTGGTTTCACTTTCTCTAATACAGACTTGTTTGAGTGGAATGGAATGTCATTGTGTTTCTAAAAACTGCTGTTTCCCAAGAATTTTCATGCCTATATTTTAATCCACTGATATAGTAACAATACATAAAATTAGGTAGCCTATGCAAAATAACCTACAGAGAAATACATATGTCCATGATGCTTAATCTCATACAAGGAACACTTTCCATTTTTCTCAGTAAAAAGAAACCTGATTTCTGTTTAAAAATAGTGTTGGACAAGGCTTAGATGGCAAAAGGACTTTTAGTCTTAAGTGTCAAAAGAAAATGCCCAACTCATTCAAGAAGTTATTTATCAAAAACCTCTGCTTGTGTAATTTTTAACTTGGAAATTCATTTAATGCAGTGTGTTTAAAGAAAGTATCTTCCGCCTTAAATGCAACAAATAGGTTCTTTTATAGTTTGGGGTCTAAGGACTCCATTTTCTTATTCTAAAGATAGATCTTCTCTTCATGGCCGAAGAAGGACTGACTGACATAATGCAGGTGTATGATGGTAAATTAACTTTTAAGTGCAACTGAAATATTAGGTTGATTAGCACCCACGTATTGCTGCAGTGTTCCCCAGGGAGGCGCTGGAACCATCTAGCATATGGCTTGTCATTTTTAGAACAAAACAAAAATAGACCAACTTGCCTTGGAGATGCTGAAGGCTACAAATGCAAACCACGTTTTACCTAGTTCAACAAACCTGTCCTAATGAATGGTCCAGGGCAAGACCAGAGGATTCAGATGCAATGCAAGTTTCGGAGCATAATGGGAGTGGATGGTGTCTGAGGTCCCATTTGCTATGTAAGAAAGGAAACCTGCCAATGTCTAAGGAAGGTACAAAGTGATGTTTGGTTTAGTGAATAAACAGTCTTCTTAAAAACTGTCTTAACGATGGTGTTACAAGCATCTAGCTTTGAAATCACTAACATAGGTAGGGCAAGGGCTGATCCTAGAATGAGTCAACGGCTGTTATTTGAAGAAATTTATTGTTGTTGATATGTGCCGTGAAGAAATGTAGTTGGGATTAAAAAGAAGTGATAAAACTCCATGGTCCGTTTGCTACACATGTTGACTGTTCCCAAGTAATTAATTTATGTAAGTATTGTGCCATGTACCGTAGGTGCTTTAACAGTCCTGAATCTGAAGTTTAGAAAAGCAAACCACTTACACCTCTGCTTCTGAGAGAACATAAATACTACACATGTGAGTACAACAATCAGTTTGTTAAACGTTTATTCTACTTTTAACACATTAATGCTTTAGAATCCAATCACAGGCTCATTTGTTAGTCACCAAGGATGTGTGACTGCACCTGGGTGGAACAATGGCTAAAGCACACAGATGCTCACTGAAAGGAGTGGGAGAGGATGTGGCACTCTGCTTCTGAGGTATCCATAGCCTTGCAAGCCCCCTGGGGCAGTTCCAACGTGCCTTACAGGGTGGCGATGAGCTGGAATCAACTCCGTGGCAGCGGGCCTCAGTGTCTTGCTAATGATGTGTCAAGAAACCCTGGTGGTGCAGTGGTTAAGTCCTGGGATGTTACCAAATGGCTGGTGCTTTGAACCCACCAACTGCTCCCTGGGAGAAAGCAGCGGCAGTTAGCCGCAGTCAAAATTTACAGCCTGGAAAACCCACTGGTGGGTGAGCTCCACTTTGTGCTGTAAGGTTGCCACGGGCTGCCTGAATCAACTTCTTGGCTGTGCAATGTTTGGTTTCCTAAGGCAAGCACTGAACTGCTCCTGGCTCTAAAGGGAGAGCTGCATAAATAAGCATTCTCTTCCTGATGATTTCATTGGTAAAGGACAAATGTCACACTGTCCTCACTCTAGAGCTGGAAGAGGTCAGCTTCTATTTTAATTACATAAAATTCATGTTAACAGCAGACTATCCATCTGCAAACATGTGACACAGGACCTAATGAGTTAAAACCATATATTGTATGATGCCATAGAGCTGATAAAGGTCATCCTCCACATCTGCTCCTTATCTCCTTATGCAAGAGAAAGGGAAAAGAGATTAGAAGAAAATGGGCCTTACTCTTGTGAGTCCTAACCATGTAAACTCCTCATGCTAACTTCATCTCTGCTGGCCAGTGACAGGAGGCTCCTTTAACAAGATGTACAGAGCAGTAGGGTTGAACGTGCCTTTCAAATAAAAAGCCAGGTTCATGTGAAGGGAACAGGCAAGAAGATGAAGCTGCCACACAGTGAGGGATAAACAGAAACCCAGAATGAGCCCCGGTTCATGAGCAGATGGACTGATGCTAACCTTGGAGCTTCTTGTTAACTGGGGAAAAAATCCCTACCCCCATTTGTTTCTAGTGACTACAATCTTATATTTTGTTATTTATAGCTGAACACATTTATCTTCAACACAAAGGATGTCATAAACCAAAGATACGTACCATATGATCATCTGATTCAAAGTGGTCAAAGCTGGTCCATCTCATCTCACTAATGCCCAGTATGTCAATATTAATGCATTTCATTTTTACCAGTTTCCTGTTTTCAAACATTCAAGCTACATACATTCTATGTTCCAATTATGAAATGATGTTTGTTATTCTTTTTCTTCATTTCAACTGACTTCCAATCTGGGCTTTATCACTACACTACTATTACTATCCTCTTTCTTAAGTGTTCATAGGGTTTTCAAAGGCCTGTTATTTAGGAAGTAGATGGCCCATCCTGCTTCCTAGTGTGTCTTAATCAGGGAGCTCTCCTAAAACCTGTCCACCATTAGTAACCCAAATGGCATTTGACACACCAGTGGCACAGATTTCAGTCTGTGAAGCTGTTGTTAGAAGAATACTTCATGGTTTAAAATTGAGAAGGGAGTGTGTCAGGGTTGTATTTTCTCTCCATACTTAATCAATCAATATGCTGAGCAAATTATCCAAGAAGCTGGACTCTATGAAGAGGAGTGTGGCATCAGGATTGGAGAGAAACTCATTAATAATCTGTGTTATGCAGCAGACACAACCTTGCTTGCTGAAAGTGAGGAGGACTTAAGCACTTGTTGCAGAAGATCAAGGAATGCAGCCTTCAGTATGGACTTCATATCAATATCAAGAAAACAAAGATTCCTACCACTGGACCAACAGGCAGTGTCATGACGGATGGAGAGGAATTGAAAGTGTCAACAACTTCATCTTGCTTTGATCCACAATTATCACCTTTGGTACCAGCAGTCAGGAAATAAGGAGACACATTGCACTGGGACAATCTGCAGTTAGGGACCTCTCCAAATTATTGAGGAGTAGCGATTTCAGTTTGAAAACTGAGGTGCATCTGATTCAGGCTATGATCTTTTTGATTATTTGCTATGCATCAGAGAGCTGGATAGTGAATAAAGATGTCAGAAAAAGAACTGATGCCTTTGAGCTGTGGTGTTGGAGAAGAGCAATGAACATCCCATGGATGGCCAAGAGAACGATCAGCTATATCTTGGAGAGGGTGCAGCTGGAGTGCTCTTTGGAGGCAGGAATGATGGGACTTCACTTCACAGACTTTGGGCACGTTACCAGGAGGAGCTGTTACTTGGAGAGGGACATGATACTGGGAAGGGTAGAGAGTCGGCAAAGGAAAGTAAAACCCTCAACTAGGTGGACTGACACGGTGACTGCTGCAGTGGGCTCTTGTGTTTTAGGAAGTGTGAGGACTGTGCAGGATAGAACAGGGTTCGGATCTTTTGTTCTTAGGGTCTCTGTGTGTCTACTCAACTTGATGACACCAAACAAGAAGAACAATTGAGAGAAGGAAGAGGAAAACAT